CAATAGATTCAAAGTGGCGGCGGATTGGCAGTAAGCTCTGATCAGCCTGTGTGGGTCAGGGGTTCTTGATTTCAGATCAAATGCATCTCCATTGATGTTGTCTCCTCTGTAACTTGGCAACTTTACACCGTTTTGCTCCTCGAATGGATCTGATCTGGGCTTTGCAAACTGGCCTGCCATTCTTCCCACCTGTGTTTTTTTTTTTTTTTTCAGCAACATAAAATTAGACATGACTTTTTTGCCAAATTAGGGATTGAAAATAACTAATGACCTAAAATACTTAACAGAAGATAAAAACAAATAATAACGACGTTTTTTTTTACTATTCTCATGAATGGGAAATTGACCAATACCCAGAGTCCAAATTTCACATATAAGTTAAAAAAAAATCACGGCGACGATTATTGAACAGAAAGGGAATAAATTAAGGGGGAAAATAACACGAGATCCGATGTTTCTGGATAAAGATCGCACCTTTATAACGGGAACTTGACCGCCGAACATGAGAACAGCGCCCATCTGGAGGAGAATCCTGAACGTGTCCCTGATGTTGTTGGCATTGAACTCCTTAAAGCTCTCGGCGCAGTCCCCACCTTGGAGGAGGAAAGCATTACCCATGGCGGCCTGACCCAGGCGCTCCTCCAGATTCCGGGCCTCTCCGGCGAAAACAATCGGGGGGAAATCGTCTAGGGTTTTCAGGACCGAATCGAGATCCTCCTTGTTTGGGTACTCCGGCAGCTGAAGCGCCTTCTTCGACTTCCAGCTGTCCACCGCCCATTTCTTCGGAGCGGAGTTGGTCTCGACCGCGGTGGCGACGGAGGCGGAGGATGTGGATGCGGCGGCGGCGGGGGCGATTGGCGTCTTGGAATTGGATGAATCGGCGGAGTGGACGGCGGAAATGGGTTTGATTACGGATCTGAGGGTTAGGGAGGAAGGATTGACCCGGATTGGGGAATGGGTTTGGGTAATGAGGGAAGATTTGTTAGTGAGGAGAGAATTCTGTGCAGAGAGCGCCATTGGGGGCAAAATGGGCAATGGGTTAACTCTCTGGTTTGTGATGGAGATTGTACCTCTGCTGAAAGAGAGGAGAGAGATTTGATGGGTTTTTATAGAACAGATCTTTTTTTGTGTTTGGTGGAAAATTGGAATAGGTGTTCGTGAAATTGGATTTGGGTTTTTTCGTAGAGGGGTGGGTGGGGAATATTTTATTTTATTTTATTTTCAATTTAAACACTGAAAACTATGTCACACCTTATTTTGATGTAAATATGGAAATACATTTCTCTATTCTGAAAAGATATTTATAGTACGAGTTTTAATAGCTTGCAATGTAATTTTATTTTATTTGTAAGTTTTATTCAAAATAATTAAAAAAATTTAAACACTTTTTGAATTCTCGCGAATTAAACGAGCAATTTCGACAATGATTTGAGATAAAAACGTATTTATAGTTCATTTTTTTAAACGAGCAATTTTTTAACATCGTCAATCCGAATTATACATTTTATGTATAATATCTCCATATACATGTTTGGAGATATGGTTGTATGATGGACAATGTTAGTCTTATGTTTGGTTTTATTTTTTAGAAATAAATTAGTATGTTATGTATCACAATCTTGAACTAAATATATGATAATTAGTCATTGCCTAAATAAAAGAAAAGTATTACACTATAATCATATAATATTTTGTACAAAAATATATTCATTATAAGACAATTAGTTTCAACATGATATAGTTTATGCAAAGCTTATTTTAAAGTACCAATAACACATGATTATTGTTTTCAACAACTCATTAAAGCAAAATACTCTAAAATAAAATGTTTGTTTTGTTTCTAAATAATTAACCAAAAACACATGTTTCATGACGTGGCTGTGGGAGGGGGGGTGGGTTAGGTGGGGTGGGTGGGTGAGTAAATTGCAGTGGGAAATTAGGGAGAGATGGTGGGCCGGTGGCGAAGGAGACTCAAGCCCAAGGGGTTGGTGTGGAAGTAAGTAGTTGGGAGGGGTGATTTTGTAATTTCCAAATAGTCAATTATAAATATATAATTGCTAATTTGGTCCATCGCCAACTACTTTTTGTCTATTAAGTTTGATATTTTTAATTTAATGGAAGGGACAAAAGAGTCATATCGCCGCATCTCCAATGATGATGCACAAAATTGACCCTTGTGTCTATTTTATGTCCAAGGCATCTTTTGGTTTATTCTATTGGCATGAAAATATAATTAATAATAGTTTTGATTATACCATTTCTATTACCAAACGTTGGGTTTTGTTTGACTCAATTTATGTTGACCGTTGAGAACTCATATTTGAATTGCTTCCATATGAATGATCACATAAAAATCGCCCAAAGATTACACATGCAAGGAGAAGATAGTAATTTCACTGAAAAATAAAATAAAATTGGACGTTTATGTCATTTCGTAAGTATATGAAGGATTAGGGCTGAAAAGGTAACTACCCCTACTGATTAATCGCCATATATCCGTACCGAAAATTATTGAAAAAAAATTACCCGAACATCGGTTACTACTACATTTGGTATGGTATTGATATTGTAACACTATTACACGATACGATAACACGATATTGTTTCCATATGGCAATAGTATTGCCGTACGGCCATAAATATCGGGTATGCACGAGCCTACCCTACGTCCCTACCATATTGGGCTGGATTGATAACTTATCAATCATTTGCATGATTGGGCCATGGGCCACTCTACTAATCTATACTGGGTCCAAAACCAGTAAACCACTCAAGTCTCAACGGAATATGAATGGATTATTTCGCAAATTATCATTTTTCTACGAAATCAGAGTGGGCTTTAATTGACTTGATGCTAATGTAACAAGCCTCCATTGGAAAATAAATAGGAATTGCTTAATTTCAAATTACAATTGAACCTCCATAAATTGATATTAATAACCTAATACGGTTAAATAATGATTTTCCGAATCCCGACTTGATGAAAACATATCAAATTATTAGCTCAATAATATAATATTTCGCTAAATTAATAAAATTTCATTAATCTCAACTATATTAATTTACAGAGAATTCATTGAGGCTGTGTTTGATAACACTAAGCGCTGAATGCTGAATGCTGAATACATATCTGAATGACTAAGAGTTATGCCTGGATACTGAATGTTGAATCATTAAGCTCATTTGATAGCTGAAATTCTGCCGTCTGAATAATAACATTTTACCGTTATATCCTTGGTCAAATACTGTAGTATTTGTTAATGAGCAACATATATGATATATGTATATATAAATATAATTCTTTTAGCATGATTAACTTAATCAACAAATTGTGAAATTTGGGCAGACATTAACATCTCTATGTGTTTTAAATATCAAGTATTTAACATTATTATAATATAAATATGAAATATAAAAGTCAAACAAATTTAAAAAGTAATCTCTAAGCAACTAAAGGTAGTAATAGTAAAACTTATTAACTTAAAATATGAAAATATACTAAATTCACTAAAATTGACACGAATAAAATATATTTTAATTACCTTTTATTTTAATACATAATTAGACTTTATTAAGATAAATGAAAGAAAAAAGGATAGAACTTATTTATGGAGTAAAAAAAGTTGGAAGTTGCGCAGAAAAGTGATAGTGTGTTGGGATATTACCTGAGATTAATGTGGGATATATGAGTTTTCTAAAGGATAATTATGTGTAAATTTGATTCAGATGTAGCACTTGTTCGGTCAGCACCAACTTTTGGACTGAATAGTTAAGAGCATCATGGAACCATTCAGTCATTAATATCAAACGCACTTAACATTCCAATTGCTTACCGATTCAGCAAATTAGTGATTAAGAGGGTCATTAAGAGCAATCAAACAAGGCCTGAGAGTATATAGCAGTTCCCTGCATAATATTAACTGAATTAATATTGAATAATATTTTCATAAACTTTTATTCTTTTTATGTTTGGAAAATAAAAAGTATTTAATTTTTTGAGAAACCTAATAATGATAAATAAGACAAAAATTTATGCAATTTTCTTATATTTCCGGACGAACGAATGAATGAATGATTTCCCTATTACAATATTTCCCTCTATGTAATAATATTCTAATTGATTCTATATATAACAAAAATCAAACTAAAGTGGAACATTTGGAAGTGGAAGGATCGTAAATAGCCGGAAGCAAGTATTTCCGGCCATCAGCGCCGTGCGCATTGTAGCTAGCACCAGTGGTGGGGTCCACCAATAAGTCTCCGGCGTAACCCGGATATGCTCCTTTAGCGTAGACTCCGGGGCAGGCGGATGCAGCTTCGAGTGGGGCCTCAGATGTGCCTTGATAGAACCCGTTTCCAAACGGGTTGGTAACCGTACCCGCTAAAAGGCCGCTCAAACTCATGACCATACCGTCTAGGCCCACATCGTTGTTGGGGGCAATAAGGGCTGGGCTTTGCGGGCCGTAAATGGGCTGATGGAATGGCCACGCGCAGTAACCTGGGCACTGAGTCTCCGAGTTGCCAACCCAGATGTAGGCAAACTTGTTATTCTTGCCCTTCACAGGGGTACTTTTGGAACCGTGTGTCCCGCATCTGTTGAAGCAGAATCCGTCGACGGCGACGTCAGACGCCGTTAGTACGACGTTGATTGCGTTCTTTTGGTCGCCGTTAGATGCCAACTGGACGATTTTCTTCTCGGAGAGGGATTTTCCGAGGGAGTACTTGTCGTCGATGATCTGTCTGCCCAGGTAGAGCGAGAGTGGGGTTTTTGAGTTGGCGATGTTGTAGTATTTCTCGGTGGCCTTCCACCACTTGGCGACGGATGGTTGGCTGGCAGCAGACTTCGCCGTCGGCGATGCTGGTGCTGAGAGGGAGGTGATGAAATCGGCGACGATGGCCCTCTGTGAGGGTTTGAATTTGCCGTACCAGATGAGATTGACGGCGATTCTGCCGTTGAGAAGAGCGCCGTTATGGTAACGGAGGAGCTGGGTTTGTGGTTCTTCAACCAAAGCACTGAGCTTCCTCGAAGCAAAACAAACATTGAATAGAGAAATGAAGGCCAAAATTTGAACCATAATCACGAAATAGTAGTGAGAAGCCATTGTTGGAAAATGAAAGAGCTTGGTTTAATTTGTACGTACGTACTGTATTATTATTATTAGACGAGAGTGAGTGAGAAATTGGATGGTGATAGATGAATGGAGAAGAAGGGTATTTATATAAATGAATTATCAAGCGAGTGAGCTACGAAGAAGCACCCTTTTAGTCAAAATCCAAACGCGGTTATTCTCTAGAGAGAGAAAAGGCAGAAAAAAGCATCACAGCTTAGTTACAGCAAGATTTGGGCATCTTTTGGTGCATTTCCTAGAGAGAGAGAGAGATAGGGTTTTAGGTAGGACAGGCTGGAGGAAGTGGGGCAGTTAAGTTGGGGTAGAGCTGTGCACAGTTGGCATTTGTTGATATGTGTGATCATCCATCATACCACAAACAAGTGTCACTACATCACCACCCTACACTAGTTAAACTTAAACACCTTTTTACGCCTATTTATTGTCCGCCTCTAATTCATCTTTTCATTTTCAATTTTCAAATTTAAAAAAAAAAATTTATTAAAATTATATCTCCATTTAGACGAGTCTAATTAATTCATTAATTAATTAACTTTTTACAACCTAATATTTAGACCATTACTATTTGGTTTACGATAATGACATGTCCAGATTTTGGTTAATTAGATTTGATTAAAAAGTTTGACGAACAGTACAAAAATTTAATTGGGCATCAATCAGCTGGCCTAAATTCATTTATTTGAAATAGTAGATATGTGATTGTGACATCTGTACATTTCAATATTAATATTATTATTAAATAAATATTAAACTTTGCCAGTAGAGTGTGTGAGATGACCAGACGCGTATGTGAAGGCTATTAGGTTGGCTTGTTTCATTATCCGCCAACACTACTTTCCCACTAATCCATCATTATTTTCAATTAATTCAATATAAAATTACTTTCATATTTAAAATTAATCAAAATAATTACGATAAGAAATATAAATTAAATAATTATGTTCATTGGATGCTGATGCATGGGAGAGTGTGCTAGGGCAATACTTATCCTACTTAATCACCATTCATGCATACTACAAACTTTGACTCCAATAATATATACATTCTTTATATTATTATTAATAATACTTAATAATTAGTTTTGGTATAGATTTGTTTATATGCATGATCCATTGTTTGCGTTGGCTGTTTTTTTTTTTTTAAATTCTGCTGCATATATAATAAATAGTTAATAAGCTGTCTTGTTTCCTTCATATCTAACATCCAAACACAGCAATTCTGAATGAGCACTACTTAATTAACTCTTTGATATATTACTACAATAATTAGCTAGACCTAATCACAATTATGCAATTTAAATTTTGTTTTGTCTGCAGATTATCTAAGAAAGAAGACAACTTCATGAATTTTCAATTAAAATAAATAAATCGTGCTCAAAGGGTTTGGGTTTTAATTACCAGATTAATCTATGCTAATATCTAATAATTAGCACTCCCCAAAAAAAATCGAATAATAACAATATAATAATAGGTAGACACAATTTAGGGACTTGCACAGAAAGTGCCAAACTATTCCTGTAAGCAAGCTGTAGCCTGTAAATATGCTTCTCTCTCCTCTCTCTAAAAAAAATAGCAAAATTCAAAAAAGAAAAAGCGCGTTGAGTTTTTTGTTTTTATCTGCGCGTGCGCACCAACGCCCACCGTATATAAATACCCCTCTTCTCCATTCAACTATCATCATCCAATTCCTCACTCACTCTCAGCTTAATATATATACTGTAACAAAACCTAGCTCTTCCATTTTCCAACAATGGCTTCTCACTACTACTTCGTGATTATGGTTCAAATTTTGGCCTTAATTTCTGTATTCAATGTCTGTTTTGCTTCGAGGAAGCTCAATGCTTTGGTCGAAGAACCACAAACTCAGCTCCTCCGTTACCATAACGGCGCTCTTCTCAACGGCAGAATCGCCGTCAATCTCATCTGGTACGGCAAATTCAAACCCTCACAGAGGGCCATCGTCGCCGATTTCATCACCTCTCTCTCAGCACCAGCATCGCCGACGGCGAAGTCTGCTGCCAGCCAACCATCCGTCGCCAAGTGGTGGAAGGCCACCGAGAAATACTACCACATCGCCAACTCCAAAACCCCACTCTCGCTCTACCTGGGCAGACAGATCATCAACGACAAGTACTCCCTCGGAAAATCACTCTCCGAGAAGAAAATCGTCCAGTTGGCCTCTAACGGCGACCACAAGAACGCCATCAACGTCGTACTAACGGCGTCAGACGTCGCCGTCGATGGATTCTGCTTCAACAGATGCGGGACCCATGGTTCCAAAAGTACCCCTGTGAAGGGGTAGAATAACAAGTTTGCCTACATATGGGTAGGCAACTCGGAGACTCAGTGCCCAGGTTACTGCGCG